TCAAACCAAAATAATCAAAATTCAAATTTTAAAAATCGGAACCAAATTGAAAAATCCTAAATAATCTGTAAATTTGATTTTTTATTACTTTTAAAAAATTATTTTATGTTTTTATAAATGTTATATAATATTAAATATATAATATATAAAAATTAAGTATATTAAATATAATTAATAATTTTGAATTTTATTTTTATTAAATATATATTATAATAAAATATATTACCATATATTTCGGACTGGTTCAAATTTTTAGTATACTGATCCGAATAAATTTTAAAATCTGAAATTTATCAAATATTTAATCTGAACCGATTAAAAAATCCGAACCAAATTTTAAATTTCAATTTGATTCAGATCTAGGTTTCTGAATTTTGGATATTTTGCCCACCGTTAGAAAAAATACTTTTGGTATATATTCTTCTTGTTCTTCAGTCTAATTTACTTCATCTTCTACGGCATGATAGTGTTTCCGTGACACTGAATCTTCACATAACATCCTACTCATTTTTACGCCTTTTGGAACCTCTTTTCCGGCTTCCTAGTTCCTTGGCTGGTGAGTTTACAATGGCAGTCAATCCTATGAATGTTCTTCGACAAGATAATGCATGATACAGTTTTTGTTGCGATGAACGCCAATGTGGTGGAGATTGTTCCATTTGGGTGAATCCTGGACATTCTACGGTTTAGTTGCATTGCAATTTGGAGACATAACATATGAGTTGTATGTTAGATATTGTAAATGATGTGTCACCTAAAAATTTAAGCTTAAAGTTGAGACTGTCGTTTACATTATCTAATATGGTGTCAGAGCTGGAAAGGCTCGTGTTCGAGTCCCATCATCCCCATTTGTCGTCGTCCACGTGCAAATTTCGTAGGTGATGTATATCTCCCTTGCACATGAGGATGCGTATTGGTTAACTCATGTATATAAATATATATATATATATATATATTATTCATATTGTTTCAAACATAAATTTTTAAGTAAAACGGTCAATGCTTCCTCAATGCCTACTTTGGGTCAAACATGATTAAGTCGGCATTGTGGATGCCGTTGTAGTTGGACTAGGCTTCCTTTGTTTCGATGTTTGCATTCTTGATCAAGGCATTCGATTTCCAAAGGCGATAGTATTTGTGTTCAATGTAGCTTGGTCTCTTTGAATGTTTGCTTCTCATATTTAGTGTTGTAAGAATATCGATCGAACGAACGTGTAGCTCTTTGAAACAAATTATAGACATATTGTTGTCATATTATATTTACGTACGTGATGGAAATTTCCTTCAACGCCAAACACACATGCACCTACCCGGGCTTGAACCTAGAACCTAACTCTCAAGCTATTTGCTTGGTTGCACATTTGATAGTTAGCTTTGAGTACCCGAATAGTAAAAATTTAAATTAAAATAAATATTTGATATAATATAAATAAATTATAATGTGATATTTTAAAAATAAAATTATATTTTAGTGAAATATAAAAAATTAAAATAAATATTGGATTGACTTTTTAAGAAAAATAACAATAATGAATAGTAAAACATAAATTTAAAACTTACAAACCAACACAACCTTTACAATGGGCCATGCAAAATGTACTACAATTGAACTGAACACAGAGATATATAAATATAGGTCCGTAAAGAATAATTTAGTAATGTGAGGTAGATTCATAACCGCAAGGTCATGGGTTTAAACCTTCGATTCTTTTCGATCTTACATGTCACATAAGTAATATAATATCCATTTTACTTTTGAAAAGAGTATTAGATATGGATCCGAACCAGAGGATGATATATATAGTCAAAATTCCCCATAATCTCATCCAAACCATTTTCAACAGCACCATACCCGCTTCACTTTCGATTTTTATTTATTCTTACACATTATTTTCGTGTAATTAAGAGCAGAATTAGGCATATAGGAGTGTGGGGTTGATTTTTAAAGGTGTGTGTAATGTAAATGTAATTAAATGGCTTGCATTGCATTTATGAAATTTTGCAGGCTCTAAGTAATAAATATAGCCAACTCTGCAGCAGCCCTATCTATCTCAATACATAAATTATACTCTCAAATATATATATTGATATATTTATATTAATATTATTACATTAACTAACATATCAATGCAAAGTAATTTATATATATATATATAAAGTATTTTGTATTTCTATTAAAATACAAAATATTCACTAAGAAAATAAATATATAAATACACAGAATCAAGAACCAAATTTGGAAAACATAAACAAAATCTGTTATTTATGTTCGACCTTTTTGGCAAACTGAAATGGCGGTTTGGATCATTTGGACAAGTTTGATCGAACTGATGGATTTTTTAGATTTATACAATGGACAAACACTCACAACGGTCGATTTTTTTTTTTTTTTAACTTGCTTGATTTCATGGTAAACATTAAACATACATGAGAACGTTGAGGTTGTTAAGGTTTTGAAGCTAACATATATTGTTTAAGATGGTCGACATCGATCAAGCGGCTTTATATCTCAATAAAATTTGTCATTATGGTCCCATTTCTTAATTTGTCTTCGATTTAATATTTCCTATATCTATATATTAAATCACTATCTTTTCTATCTATCTATCTATATATATATATATATTGCTAAGTATTGAGAATGAAAATTTTTATAATAAATATGTACCGTTTCATATAATTGTTAGTATTAATTAAGTTGTTATTAGAATGTTAAGAGAAAGAATGACTCTGTTCTTTATTTATTTGATATTTTTTTACTTTTCAATTTATCATTTCGATGCTTATTGTTCATAGAACCATCAAATTCAGCACTTACTTTACCTAAGTAATTAACTAGTACATTTATGCCAAAATATATGTAAACCATATGCTATTTCCGTCTTAATTTAGGGTATCATCTTTACAATTTTCATTCATCCAACTCATAATTATCACTTTCTCTTCTCAGTAAAATATTTTTAATTTTTATTTAAATTGCCATATAATATTACATATACAATTATTTTATATAAGGTGAAAATATCAAAAAAAAAAATTTACATGTTTTTACTCACCGTTAAAATATTATTATTTTTTAATTTACTATAAAACCCAACTCATTTCAAATGGAACCTAGGGAATTTGTTTATTTAACAAAGTTTTCCCAAATTTTATTATTTGAATTATGCATTTTTTCAAAAAAAATATATCTTTTTTCTCACAAAATATCTCATCAAATATTATTTTTATACCAAATTCAAACTAAATTTTGTTCTAACTCATCCAAAGAAACGCACCCATATATATATAAACGAGAAGTTCATGCTTTATTGTACATGGAAGTCAACATATAGATATAGCCATAATTACAAGAGGCTTGTAAGTACATTATAAAATTAAGAATCCAGGATAAAATTAATTACTTCGCTTGGTTTCGACATATATATATATATATATTTTTTAATTAATAATTTCATATATAATACATATAAATTAGGGTAAAATATGTTTTTGATCTGTTTTATTCCTCTATATGTCAATTTTGAACCATCTATTTTTAAATTGATAGTTTTTTTGATCACTGGTTTATCAAACCAGTTTAATTTTACTTCTTAATTACCAATTTCATTTAAATTTTAATTGATATAATCGGTAATTTTAGTATTCAATTAGTATACTTAAGTTTTTTCCTCTTCTTATTTGTATCTGTTAAAAGATTGTCAATTAAAGGCAAAAACATACACTTGGTTAAATTTTTAACGAAATTGGTGATTTAGGAAAAAAAATTGAACTAATTTGATGGATATCAAAACGGTCGATTTAAAATAAAGAGCTCAAAATTTCATAGAGTGAATAAAATGACAAAATGCATACTCTTTTAATATAATACTACTATTTTATTATATACTATTACATAATAAAAAAAAATAGCAATAAATATAAAAATATACACTATTAATTAATCATTTTTAAATTGTAAAATGTAGTTTATACTATTGACGTAATTTTCAAGTATTAGATTTAGTTCGGCGGTCCCCATATTTAAAGGATAATAAATTTTAATAGGAGTACTAAAAGTTTGTTTAGTTTAAATTTGAGTTTGAATTTTCATTTAAATTTTCATTTAAATTGTATTTTAATTTAATATTATAAAAAAAGAAATAATATTTCATCCGTTCCATATCTATCTATCTGTTTATTTTTTTGCACGAAGTTTTAAAAATATTAGTATTATATTAGAATGTAGTAGAAATAAAAGTAAAAAAAAAACTAAACTAACATTATTAGTGTTGTATGATATAAATGTAATGATATTTGTGTAATATATTGTAAATTAGAAAGATATTTGTAAGTAGATAATACCGTTACTAAAAATGAAAATGAATACTTTGATATGTGACGGACCAAAATAAAAAAAATGAATAGATTATTAAATGACGAAAATGAGTATTTCTTATTGAAAATTATGAAACTAAATAGTACTATCTTTGTTTCACGTATCATGTTCAAGTATTTGTTTTTATGCGTCCAACATCTTATATTACTTTTCCATTTTAGAAATGAATTACATCCTCTCATCATACTTTAAATTTTCTAATTATACCAATTAATTATTTTAATTATAGTTATTATTATTATTATATTATAATTATTTTTTAATAAATTTTTAATTATTTACTAATAATATTTTTTAAAAAAAATTCTCGTATTAATGGTGACATTGTATGTTAGAAAAATAAAATAAAATAAAATAAACGATAGTATTTTTAAATTAGACTAGAGTCTACAAAACAACAAACCTTTATTTCACTCAATAAATATACGGTACACTGTGGAACTATATTAAATTCCTACCACCCTATTTGGGGTCCTATAGTAATAGTCCCTATCAATCTCCAAAGTATTTCAAATGAAAAGAAGGTTCTTGAATTACACATCATGAAAAAAAAAAAAAAAAAAAAAAATTAACATGGCCTAATATATATTCATTTGAAGTTTATACAAACAACTTTAGATCTTCATTTACAGACAAGATGGATCAAAGTGATCCTTATTACAGAACAAACAGCACATCCCTTTGGAGGAATGGCAGCTTGGGAGTTTTTTCATATTCGATCCGCGAAGAGGACGACGAAGAAGCGCTCAAGTGGGCTGCGCTTGAGAAGCTTCCGACCTACAACCGTCTTACAAGAGGCCTTCTCAAAGGATCCACCGGCGTCGCCAGCGAAGTGGATGTAAGAAACCTCGGACATCAAGAAAGAAAAGAGTTGCTCGAAAGGCTCATCAATGTCTCGAATCAAGATAACGAGAAGTTCTTGTTGAAGCTCCGGCGCCGTATCGACAGGTGATCTTATTGAAACGAAGAGATAATTAATTAGGAACAATAACTTTTTTTGTCTCTCTTTTTTTTTTTTTCAAATAATATCTAAGATCGTTGTACCGGGGCGAAACTACTAGGAGAGAGCTGCCCATCCTCTAAAATATGAAGATATTTTTTTTTTTTTTTGTGTAAAAAATATCAAAATTATGTATTTTGTATTTATTTGCCCATCAGTTTTTTTACCTTTTAGTTTTAAAAAATAATAGTAAAACTTTTATAATTTTGTTGATTTGCACTTCTTTTGAATTTTTCTCTAATTTTTTTTTCCTCTTCTTCTTTATCCAGAGCATCCTGAAATTGATAAAAACAACGTTGAATCGGTAAAAATGAACCAACACTTTGCCCTTTCAGAATTTTACGGCCGGTGTCGTCATTATTGTGTAAAAATTATTTTGATGAAAGAAATAGTGTCAAATTAGTGTCAAAAAACAGCGTCAATATTCTAAAATTAGTTGATTTGTAAGAAAATCAAACGAGATCTTTTTTTGTCTGTTTGGTTTTGCTTGCCTAAAAAGCAACATCAATATACTAAAATTAGCTGATTTATAAGAAAACCAAACAAGCTCGATCATGCTTTAATTTATCTTTGGTTTTGGTTAGAGTTGGGATTGACATACCGACTATAGAAGTGAGGTTCGAGCATCTAACCGTGGAAGCGGAAACCTACATCGGGAGCCGGTCGTTGCCTACGTTTGTAAACTTCACGATGAACATTGTCGAGGTATAAAGTCATTTCTTAAACATGTCAGATGATGTAAATGACTGTCTTACCTAAAAAGTTAAACTATTAGGGATACACATAATTTATTTATTTACTAACAAGAGTCAACCAACAAAAATTAAAGAAAAAAAAGAAAAAAATTAATAAAAAAAATATAAATATACTAAAAACATAATTAAATTAAACATGTTAAAATGAGATATATGGACATAGCACCCGAAGTCTTTGATTATTTGTTTGATTGTAGTTTGAAATTGATTTTAAATGAAATATTGATTTAAATTTTTATTTAAACAGTATTTTAATATAATATTTTTTTAGAAAAAATAATATATTTTTATGAAAACTATGTAGCATACATAATGTTAAGATTTAAAATGGTAAAAGAACTCGGAAATGTCCAATTTCTAGAATCCAAAGTCAATTTTATGTCAACAAAGAATAAAGTGAAAAAATTCTAAATAGGATGTGTTTCGGAAAATATTATTACTATGATAATTTATTTTTTATTTAATATATTTCACATAAAATTATAAACGTATTATATTTATTTATATCATATTAAAATATAATATTTTGTGAGACACAAAATATATATATTTTTTATTGGAAATTCTTGAAAATTGTACAGTAAACAAATTAAAAAACAAAAAATTCTTAAGGAGAGTAAAGCCTAAAAAAACAATAGAAAAGAAACTTAGTTCCTTTAAATATAAAATATAAAAGTTGTAAGAAATTTTAGAAATAATGAAAAATTGAATAATAGAATTCTTTTAGGAAATGCAAAATAAATTTAATATGATATATATTTTTAAAAAATTACTATTTATAAATAGAAACAAAAAATTAAAAAGTTTTTCCTAAATATCCATAATTTCAATCTATTGTTATTACAAGAGAAGCCTTCAATAAACAAGTTTCTTTCTTCATTTTTCACACCAAGGGATTATTGAACTGTCTCCACATCCTCCCAAGCAAGAAGAAACATATTTCTGTCCTGCAAGATGTTAGTGGAATCATCAAACCATGCAGGTTCGATCGATCGATACATATATATATGAATTGTATATATGCAATAACTTTACAACAAAACAAACATTTCCTGTCTGAACCTAACCATATTTGTATTTTCCATGTCCATTTTCAAGAATGACATTGCTGTTAGGTCCTCCCGGTTCGGGGAAGACGACGCTGCTGTTGGCTTTGGCCGGAAAGTTAGCTTCCGATCTCAAGGTCAAATTTGTCGAAACATTATCCCTTTCGATTCAATCGCGGAAAACAATTATAGTGTGTTTGTTTGTGAGTTTGGATTGTTGAATAATAAAAAGTTGAATCTGAATAATTGTTTGATGAAATATAAATAGATATTGATGTGATGTTTTGAAAGTAAAATTGATTTATAATAATATTAAAAAAAAAGTAATTATTTGATTTAATATTTTTAGAAAAAAAATAAAATCTGAACAATAAAAATTTGCGTTAAAACCTACAAAAGAACACAATTTTAATGTTATCTTCAATGTGCATAAGCTGCAGGTTTCTGGAAGAGTGACTTACAACGGGCACGAAATGAACGAGTTCGTGCCCCAAACAACGGCTGCCTACATTAGCCAACACGATCTTCATATCGGTGAAATGACTGTTAGAGAAACGCTGGAATTCTCGGCACGATGCCAGGGGATTGGACATCGCTATGGTATTCTTTTCTTACACGTATGTAGATAGTTTTGCAGTACTCTTGTTAGAAAATAGTTAACTTATGGGGGTGCAGAGATGTTGTCGGAGTTGTCGAGAAGAGAAAAGGATGCCAATATTAAGCCCGATCCCGACATTGACATCTTCATGAAGGTAAGTTATTTCTACTAAACATATATAAGTAGATAATAAAATAATGAAATTATACTATCTTCGTCCAACCCAACTTTAATTTATTTACATTATAATTCATATATATATATAATTTATATTTATTTTTTTAAAAAAATAAAATTATATAATTTTTTTTCAAAACAATATAATTATATATAAATTTTTAAAATATAAAATTATATATTATTTTTTAAAAAAATAAAAAATTATACAATACTTCCAAAAAATAACAAAAATATAAACAACACCACATAGTACCATAAAAACTTCACGTAGAATAGCACGGTACATAACTGCATATTGGGGTATTTGGAGTGGGTTGGAATTGATCTTATAATATAACATTTGCAAAAAAATATATATATAAAAAATATTTTTAATATTAAAAAGAATTTCTCCAAATTGAAGTTGATAGATTACCTGCTGAGGGAAGTAAGTATAATTTTTATTAATTTTCCCTTAAAAAAATTATTTTCTAAGGTAAAAAGCAATAATTTTTATTTTTTTTTATAGTTAGTGCACTTTTAGTTTCAATTTTATTTTTCTTTTAGTAAAAATTATATTAAATGATGTTATATAATTTTGTTGAAATTTTCTCTAAATATTTAATAGTTATCTAAACTTTTTTTTTGTTCTTTATCCGCTGCATCGAAAAAAAAAAAAAAAAAAAAAAACATTGAATCAGTAAAAATAAAGTTACATTTTAACTACGTAAAATTTTACAACTGATTTTGTCGCTCATATATGTTAACATAATACAAACAATTATAGAGTATTTAAGCTTAGTATTCTTACAAGATGAGTCTAATACATTTCGCGCTATACATGTCGCGACATTAAGGCTGTTGCAACCGAAGGGCAGGAAGCGAAGATAGTAACAGAGTATGTGCTGAAGGTACTGTGAATACAACTCCGGCGACAATAGTTTGAAACAGATTCCTGTCTAGTAAGAAAAAAGCAAAAAAAAAAAAATGCGATAATTTGCTTCTCGGCGTGCAGATACTCGGGCTGGATATATGCGCGGACACTCTAGTCGGAGACGAGGTGAGAAGAGGAATATCGGGAGGACAAAGAAAGCGTCTCACCACAGGCGAAATGCTGGTCGGGCCGACGAATGCTCTGTTCATGGACGAGATATCAACCGGTCTTGACAGCTCGACGACATATGAAATCGTGAACTCGTTAAGACAAGCCATCCACATCCTCAACGGGACTGCCCTAATATCGCTCCTCCAGCCGGCGCCCGAGACATACGAGCTTTTCGACGACATCATCCTCTTGTCCGATGGCAAGATTGTCTACCAAGGCCCTCGAGACAACGTGCTCGAATTTTTCGAGTCATTAGGCTTTCGATGCCCCGAGAGGAAAGCTGTGGCCGACTTCTTGCAAGAAGTACGTTTTAAATATAAATATTTGATAATCCTCGTATTCATTGCCAAGGACGGAACTACACTGGGCTTGCGGTCAATTGACCCTAGCCCGCCCAACCGTCCAATTTTTTATAATTCTTTTAGTATTAAAAATATTAAATTTATTAGTTAAATATTAAATAAATTATAATATTTTGCCCCTTAAAATTTAGATGCTAGTTTCGTTACTGCTCGTCGCGATTATGTTTTCTTGCAGGTTACGTCGAAGAAGGACCAGCCGCAATATTGGGCGCGCGACGAGCCGTATAGGTTTGTGACGGTCGACAATTTCGTTGAGGCGTTCCGGTCGTTCTACGTCGGGCAACTGCTTAATGAAAGCGTCGCAACCCCTTACAACAAGACCCAAAGCCACCCGGCGGCATTGACGACGAGAAAGTACGGGACTTCGGTGATGAAGCTACTAAAAACGTGCGCTCGACGAGAGCTCTTGTTAATGAAGCGAAACTCGTTCGTGTACTTGTTCAAGGTCGGACAAGTTACGATGATAGGAATCATAACGATGACGCTGTTCCTGAGGACGAATATGCACCATCGAGGCTTAGAGGACGGGTATATTTACCTCGGCGCTCTGTTCTTCGCCACGACGATCATTATGTTCAATGGAATGCCGGAGGTTTCCATGACGATCTACAAGCTTCCGGTGTTTTACAAGCAGCGCGACTCGTTGTTTTTCCCGCCGTGGGTCTACGCTGTTCCAATGTGGCTTCTCAAGATCCCGATTTCGGTTATTGAGTCCGCGGCTTGGGTGTTCATCACTTACTATACGATCGGATACGATCCAGCGCCATCGAGGTAAGAAAATTGAGAAGTTCGTCGCGTTAAAAACAGAGTAACCGATTATCTAAGCTCGCAAAACTTCGATTTTTTTTAAAAAAATTGTATGCAGATTGTTCAAGCAGTTCCTCGTGCTTCTACTGCTGCATCAAATGGCGAATGGATTGTTTCGGCTAATCGGATCGATAGGGCGGAACATGATCATCGCGAACACGTTTGGTGCATTCGCATTGTTCATACTTTTCGTGATGGGCGGTGTCATCTTGTCGCGAGGTTAGAACGAAAACAGAGGAACGTAACCCATTTAGCTTGTTAGGACATATACCATCGAATCATTTCAATGTTCGAATCTTCTTTCGTGCAGAGCAAATGAAGAAATGGTGGATTTGGGGTTATTGGACATCGCCGTTGATGTATGCTCAAACAGCCGTTCTTGTCAACGAGTTTCGATCCAACAGTTGGAACCATGTAAGCTGTTCTTCGAAGATCTCATCGCATCTAAACATAGATCGCGTCGAATCCTAATCTAAGCACTCCTAAGTATGTCTATTCGAAAAAAATATTTCTCTTTGAAGGTGTACGCGTACACGAATGAGACATTAGGGATCACGGTCTTGAAGTCGCGGGGGTTCTTAACCGATCCAAAAATGTATTGGATAGGCGTAGGAGCGTTGATCGGGTTCATCGTCGTATGGAACATAGGTTTCGTGATTGCTCTCACGGTTCTTGATCGTAAGTGTTTTTCCGATCTCTTTTACTACTAACTTAACTACATCATTCGATCATTCGATATGTGTTATAGTAATCTAGCTTGTCGCGCGTAGCTTTTGGACAGTCTCACGCTGTAAAGCCAATAGAGAGCGACGATAATGAAAATAGGGACGGAGTAGAAATGGCAAGTCGAGTCGGTCTGACCATGAAGAAGAAAAAGGGAATGGTTCTCCCGTTCGAGCCTTATTCCATCACCTTCGACGAAATCATGTACTCGGTCGACATGCCGCAGGTATACAATTCATTCGATAAAATTTTTAGGCACGAGGCACATTTTTTGTATCGATGTTTTCGTTGTTATTACGCGATTTGTAGGAGATGAAAGACAAAGGGTTTGTCGAGGAAAAATTGGTGCTTCTAAAGGGCGTAAGCGGGGCTTTTAGGCCGGGGGTTTTGACGGCGTTGATGGGCGTTAGCGGAGCTGGCAAGACGACGCTGATGGATGTGCTAGCCGGTCGAAAAACATCAGGATACATCGATGGGAATATTACGATATCGGGATACCCCAAGAAGCAAGAAACTTTTGCTCGAATATCCGGATATTGCGAGCAAAACGACATCCATTCCCCGCACGTCACCGTGCACGAATCGCTTCTCTATTCGGCTTGGCTACGGTTGGCTCCCGAAGTCGATCAAAAAACCCGAGAGGTCGGTTTATCGATATCCGAAACTTATCATTTTACACGAAGGTGAATTATGCAGTAAAATTTATTTTTAAGATGTTTCGAATTGTTCGAATATGTGAAGATGTTTGTCGAGGAGGTCATGGAGCTCGTCGAGCTCACGCCATTGCGAAGCGCATTAGTTGGCTTGCCGGGGGTGAGTGGCCTCTCGACCGAGCAACGGAAGAGGCTTACAATTGCGGTCGAGCTCGTTGCCAACCCATCGATAATTTTCATGGACGAGCCAACCTCGGGGCTTGACGCGAGAGCGGCTGCAATAGTGATGCGAACGGTTAGGAACACGGTGGATACGGGAAGAACAGTCGTCTGCACTATACATCAGCCGAGCATCGACATATTTGAAGCGTTCGATGAGGTAAAAATTCTTGAAACCCGATCCTAAACAAGGATTCGAATTTTCTTTCGCGCTTTACTTTCGTCGAACTAAAATTTTTTCCGTCAGCTGCTTTTGCTTAAACGCGGCGGAGAAGAGATATACGTTGGCCCCTTGGGGCGCCATTCTTGTGAACTCATCAAATACTTCGAGGTGAGTTTTCGCGTCAAATCATCTAAATAAGTTAAAAATCTTACAAATCTCTTAGATAAGACAATTACCATAAATATAATATATTCGAAATATATCTTAACAGTTTAGTTCATCTAACTCATTCACTTGTTTTCAACAAGGGCATCGAAGGAGTGACCAAAATCAAAGATGGTCATAATCCGGCGACATGGATGCTCGAAGTGACTTCATCCGCGAACGAAGTGTCCTTAGGGGTCGACTTCGCCGAGGTGTATAGAAACTCTCCTTTATACAGGTTTGCAACATTTTCATTTCATTACAACAATTCTAAGTGCAAAACAGAGCTACCTTAAGCTGCATTGATGTCTGATCTTACCAGGAGAAACAAAAGTTTGATCAGCGAGCTAAGCACGCCGAGCCCGGGCACAAAAGATCTATATTTTCCTAGTCGATACGTCCAGCCTTTCCGCATCCAATGCTTGGCTTGTTTGTGGAAACAATATTGGTCGTATTGGCGAAATCCCCCTTACACGGCTGTTAGATTTCTATTCACGACTTTTATTGGGCTGATATTTGGAAGCATGTTTTGGGATCTTGGATCAAAGAGGTAGGAATAGAAATCGAATAAGATTTTTGAAAATGATCGTTTTAACGTGTTCGGTTCCACTATTTAATGTTGCGATTTTTTTAGTACTAATGAAATAATTGGAATAGGGATGGCTTACAAGATATATTAAATTCGATCGGTTCTATGTACGCCTCAGTCCTCTTTCTAGGCATCCAAAACTGCGTCTCGGTGATGCCGGTTGTGTCTATTGAGAGAATGGTTTTCTACCGAGAAAAAGCAGCCGGAATGTATTCCTCCATGCCCTACGCTATCGCACAGGTTACCATTTTCGATTTTTTTTTTTTTACTAATACGTTCGTTATATCTTTTGATATTAGGAAATCGCAAATGTAGACAAGTGTTTATAGTCAATTATCACTTTTGTCGTGATCATAGCAAACGCTCGATCTTCTTGCAATGTAGTTTACGAAGGGTTAGGACGAGAAAATTCATTGTTTACAAAGCATTTGATCAAAACACAATAGATGAAGTATATGAGCCAAAAGCAATAATAAAATCTTACGATATTAGGAAATCGCAAATGTAGTCGAGTACTTATAGTCAATTATTACTTTTGTCCTAGTCGTAGCAAAAAAATTATATTCTTGCAAGGTAGTTTGTGAGGGGTAAGGACAAGAAAACTGATGATTTTACAAAGTATTAGATCAAAAAATAACAAATGAAATATACGAGACAAAAGTGATAATAAACTACGAGGACAAGACTAAATTTACAATGTTATAGCGAGGTTTTATTACATTTACTCTTTGGGTCCAAAATAACTTCGACGATCTTATTTTTTCCAGGTTCTTATCGAAATTCCTTATATATTTGTGCAAGGTGTGGTCTACGGCGTCATTGTGTATGCAATGATCGATTTTCAATGGACCGCGGCAAAGTTCTTTTGGTACGTTTTCATTATGTTTTTCACATTGCTCTACTTCACCTTCTACGGCATGATGGCCGTCGCCATGACTCCCAATTACCACATTGCTACCATCATGAGCGCCGCCTTGCTCAGTCTTTGGAATCTCTTTTCCGGTTTCATAATTCCGCACCCGGTAAGTTTAAGTTCTAACTTATTCATTTTCTTATATAAATTTAAGTATCAAAGCCAAGCTCAAACATAAACATGTTTCTTTCTTTCTTTTTTGCCTTTTTAAAGTAATTATCGAATACTATTACTTCTTCCGTCCGTTAAAATTATGCTTACCATGTCTTTATTATCAGTTAAATTTATGCATAATTCATTTACTATATATAAAAAAAAGTTTTATGATCTATAATTTTAATACTCATATTTTAACAAATAGTAATAATTGTAACACTATTTTTTTATTTATTCCGTAATTTTTTATTTTATCAACTTTATAATAAATATTCTATAATACTCGTCGCTTTACTTTTTACAGGAACTACTTTTATGTTAATATACTATTATTTTTAGTCTTCATATCTAAACAAAGTGTCATAATTATCTCGGCAAAGGGAGTAAATTTTAAATCCTATTAACTCTAAATGAATGGGATAATATAACTTTGAATAATTTCTATTTTGTTGTGAATACTAGAGCATGCCGATATGGTGGAGATGGTATTATTGGGCTTGTCCGGTGGCGTGGACGTTGTACGGTCTAACTACGTCCCAATTTGGAGATGTCGAGGAGTACGTACTCCCCGGGGTGACGGTTAAGGAGTATTTAAAAGAGTTTTTCGGGTTCAAACACGATTTTCTTGGCCCCGTTGCCATTGTCATTGTCGGGTTTCCCTTGCTTTTTGTTTTCATGTTCGGCTTCGCCATAAAGGTTTTCAATTTTCAAAGACGATGACGAGGTAGAAATATGTAACTCTAAATAAAATCAGGTTTGAAATTTGTCGTGTTCTCTTAGTAATAGTATTGTCGTGTGTATATCGAAAACAAAATTTCTTTGTCAAGAGATTATATTTGATATGGTTATTTAACATTACTATTTGTATACATTTGCGTTGAAATATTTTAGATATTTAATTTTAGATTCAGTAGATTTAGATTTATTTATTCAATTTTTCATTTTGTATTAATTATCAAAATAAGGTGCGTGTATATAATTAAATCTAAATAATCTAATCTAAATCTTAAACTGAATACATAAAATATCTCAACAATTCGCACGTCAAAACTTGAGTCTATTTTATTTTATAGTTTAAAGTTAAGTGTATAATTATCATTCATGCCTACCTCTTTTGGTGAGAAACTTGCAAAAATGAAAAAACAAAAAAAAAATGTTGAAATTAGTTGGAGGGATTTAAGTATTTCTAATGAATAGATTCTAATAGTTTCGTTTGACAGAATTTTAAATCTTCAAAAGTTGATTGTAGATTTGAAATCAATTCTTTTTAATATTTCAAATACTTTAGATAGTTATAGGATAGGTTTTAATTACAACTTATTATTAATCAGAAGTAATTCAAATCCATTAATTAATTAAATTCACTCTCAAGTCAAAATTCATAAAATCAAAGGGTTTAAACCCACGACCCCTCAGTCATCAGCCACACATTGTTCGCCTAGTGTGACTTGCCTGTCGAGCTTAGTTTGCAGGGTACTAGGTTCGACCGGAGGTTTACTCAGTGCACACTTTTGGTAGCAGCTGCGGGTTCCCACGTTATTAAAAAAAAAAAAAAAAAGGGGTCGTAAATCTGTAATGCGGCGAGTTCTCATATACTAACTCCCCGTGGCTATCACAATAACATAATTATATATATACATATATTTCTTTTATGAAGTTGGAACCCGTAAACGCAATCGAAAATGTACACTGGATTAACCCACAGCCCGAACCTCGTTATATCTTTGTAATTATAGGTTATATATAGGATCAGTTTAGTGATACTCCTTCCGTCCGTCATGCTTATGCCAGTATTGTTAGCATAAAACATTGTACGTTTGTTTAGTTGTGTTTTTGAACACATGTTCTCACTATTATTTTTTTCATTAAAAAAGTATATATATATATATTATATTAAATATTTATTTTTTATTTTACATAAATTATTTTTTATTAAAAAAATTATATCAAATAATTATTTTAATTTTTTGACAATAAATATTTATATTGTTGCAAAAAACTGCAACAATTAATAATTATTTTGTTACTGCTAATATTTTCATTACAGCCGTCATCCACAACAACTAAAATACTTTCTATAGTAATTGGTCGCAATCTTCTGTGACAGCATAATTAGCACTAAAAATTCGCTGCGGAACTACTTCTGCGATATATTCCGTAGCAATTTCAACCATGAATAAATGTCATTTTTCTAGTAGTGGTTGGGCAATGATTGCCAAAAAGTACATAAGAGGCCAACTCCACCGAAAATATAATAATATTGTAATTATAATTGATGGTTAAAAGTAACGAAATATTATTTTGTCTTTATTTTTTGTATAAGTAATAATTTGACGTTAAATATATGAATATCTATAGATAGAACTAGGATCCATGGTTACTAAATAAATAAAATTGTTATTTTGTGAGTGAAAGAGAAAGTATATATATATAGTATAGAAAATATAATTAAAGTGAATAGAAGAAATATTAGAGTATATGGTTTGTTTGGTTTTGGTTCAAATCGAAATTATCATGATTTAGTTTATAGCATTTTTAAAAAAAATATATATATTATTTAAAAAATATCATATTAAAATATTATTTAAATAAAAAACTCAAACCTAAATCAAAGCCAAATAAAGATAGGTTAAAATAAAGATATGTTAAAAGTAGAATTTTATTCTAAAGAGATATAATACTATTTTTCAATTTCAAATAAAGATATGTTAAAATTTGAGGGAAAATTATGAAATTGTATTATGCTAAAAATAAAAGTTTACAAGATTTATATATAGCAGTGAACTCGGGCCGAAACTCACAAAATAATATCAAGTAATATCTAAATCTAACATAATAATATAAAAAAATTATCTAAATCTAACATCCCCTCAAACTCAAAATGTGGCAGTGGAGACCAACTTGAGTTTATCCAAGAGTAGTCAGAAATGACCCGGAAGAAAAGAGTTGGCGGTGAAGATATTTGTTGTCTGATCTGCAGAGGATACTGGAACGAGATAAACTCTCTCATTGACAACATAATGTCGAATGAAATGACAGTCAAGCTCAATATGATTAGTGCGCTCGTGGAAGGTATTATTATGGACCATCTTCATATCACTCTAACTATTGTAGTGAAGAGCTGTAAAAGATGGCTGAGGGGCACCAAGATCAGTGAGTAGTCGACGCAGCCATAAAAGTTCAGAAGTAGAGTCAGCAAGAGCACGATACTCTGACTCGGCACTCGAGCGAGAAACGAAAGTGTGCTTCTTGCTGAGCCAAGAGATGAAAGAATCACCAAGGAAGAAGCAGAAACGAGTGGTTGAATGACGATCGGTAGGATCACCAACCCAATCAGTATCAGAGTAACCGCTAAGAGTTAAACAAGAGTGAGAGGAGAAGTGTAAGCCATGCAGAAGAGTACCTTTCACATAACAAAGAATATGTAAGACGACAGAGTGGTGAGAGGTCCTCGGATCGGCCATGAACTGACTCACAATATGGACTGCATAAGCGATATATGGTCGAGTGACATACAAATAGATCAAGCTCCCAACAAGTTGACAATAGAGGGTAGGGTCATTAAGAAGAGAGTCATCATAAGGAATAAGTCGAACATCGTAGGCAAGTGGTGTAGAGGCTACCTGACAGTCTGTGAGACCAGCTCGAGCAAGAAAATCGAAGGCATACTTAGCTCGAGACATAAAGAAACTATAGGGAGAAGTAGAGACTTCAAGCCCCAAGAAGTAACGAAGGAGACCCAAGCTCTTCATATCAAACTATTGGCTAACATATGCCTGTAGATAAAAAATATCAGACGCATTATCTCCCATGATAATCATATCATCAACATAAAGCAAGAGTATAACTATCCCAGATGAAGAACGACAAAGAAATAGGCCAGAGTTGTAAGCATGTGGAAAAACCAAACTCCAATAGTGAAGCACTAAATATGGCATACAAAGCCCGAGGGGCTTGCTTCAACCCATATAAAGCGTAACGTAAGCGAAATTTTTTTCAAAAAGACGAGAAACCTTGAGAAGGAGTCATATAAACTTCTTCAGAGAGTATGCCGTGTAAGAAAATATTCTTGACATCTAACTGAAGAATGGACCACTGACAAACAGCAACAATGGCAAGAACACAACGAACAGTAGTTAGACGAGCAACGGGAGTAAAAGCCTCCTCATAGTCAACTTCATACTCTTGGGAATAACATTTGACCTCCAGACGAGCCTTGTAATGCTCAATGGAACTATCAAAATTAGTCTTGATTCTGAAAATCTACATTCACCAATAGGTGTCTTCCCGGAAGGCAAATATACTCAATCCTAAGTATGATTCTTTATCAGAGCCTTCAATTCCTTAGTCATAGCTGGCTACTATAATGGATCAACACTCGCCTCATGCAATGACCTAGGGTTATGATGAGATAATATGATAACGTAACAATGATAATCACGCAAGTGAGAAGGAGAGTGACTTACTCGATGTGATCGACGAGGTATGACAGGTTCAGGGACCACAGATGGATCAACATCTTGAGACAAAGTCGGAGGTGGATCAGAAGCCTCAACTGAAGGTGGATCAGAAGCCTCAACTGGAATAGGATCCGGAGGCGGTGATGAAAAACATGACACTCTCCCAAAAGGTAACATGATGAGATATACGCAACCGTTTAGAAACCGGATCCCAAAGCCTATAACCTTTATGCTCTACCTCATAACCAAGAAGACAACATATACACGCACGAGGTTCCAATTTGGAACGTTCATGCAGAGGGATAATGACAAAACCGACATAACCGAAGGGACGAATGGTATTGTAATCGGGTGGCTGACCATATAGACGCTCGAAAGGGGTGCTATTATGGAGGCCAAATGATAGAATACGATTTATGGTATAGACAACAGTGGGGACAGCTTCTCCCCAAAACCTATCAGGACAAGAGGCACACACGAACAATATCTATAATGTGACGATGTTTGCGCTCAGCGCAATGATTCTATTGAGAGGTGTATGGACAAATGTTGAATCAATGTACCTTGAGCAGAGAGAAAACTTAATAAGGTAGAATCTCTATACTCAAGACAATTATCATTACAAAGGGTCTGTATGGGACAGGAAAATTGAGTTCGAATCATTTGAGTAAATTCAATGTATATTTGAGGTAATTCTGAACGGGGTTTCAAAAAATATATCCATGTAAAACGGGAGTAATCATCTATGAAAATGACATAATAACGACACCCATTTATCGAGGTTACAGTGGAAGGACCTCAACTACCATATTGAACCAAGGAAAACGGTTTACTTGCATCCGACATATTTTCCGAAAAAGATAAGGTTAGTTATTTTCCAAAATGACAGTGAAAGAAAATCAAATGACTTAAAACGAGTACAACCCAAATGACCCTTGCTAACGAGAGACTGAATTTTAGAAGAAGACGCATTACCAAGACGAATGTGTCATTGAAGACTAAGGAAATGAAATGTAGTAAGAGGGATATGATTGTACCAGAGAAATTACTAGGACAAATTTTCAAAGATTGTACCTCAAATAGTTAACCAATTTTTAGACATGTCTCAAGAATTTAGCCTGTACGTGGATCCTGAACCTGCACACCAGAAGAAGAAAAAGTAACAGTAAGTCCTTACTCAACTAGACCAACTGATACAAGATTTAAAGTCAATTGAGGAATGCAGTAAGTACCAGGAAATAATATAAATGGTAAAGATACAGATCCTGAATGAGTGATATCAATGCGACTCCCATTAGCAGTGTGTATAGGCCATAATGAAGAAGACAAATGATGCACATCGGTCAAGGGGTCAAGTGTAGGTGTCATATGATGATAGCAACCAGTTTCAAAATACCACAAATTGTCCATACCAAAGGGGGAATTGGAAGCAAGAACTTGATGTAATAGAGTCACGAAATTCTGGACTAAGGAAGCCATGCCAGTAACAACACGAAAATAAAATCAACTCCGATAAAAAAACCAATCACGCACCGGTATAAATCACGAAATTAAGATTTGAATCAAGAAATCAAATCGAATAATCCAACCAGTTACAGTCGCAACACAAAATCAACCAAAACCAACCGCACCATAACATAGGGAACCAAAACAGAAGGCGGCGGCCGAAAAACGACAACCGGAGGAGGCGGACGCGCCGCCACATGCGGCCGAAAGACTGCTGCGGTGGAAGTGTTTTTCGCCGCAATTTGCGTTGAAGGCGCATGTGGGGGCCCCACGCGCCGCCTTTGGCGGAGATATTTCGGTGGCGAGGTCGCCGGACGATGGTGGTTCCGATGGTGTGGGCACTGTTGACTGGAGAGCAGCGATGAACAACGAACAACGGTGGCGGCCGCTAGGGTTTTTGTTTTGGAAAATCGAGCTCTGATACCATGTTAGCATTTAAGGAAAAATTATGAAATTGTATTATATAAAAAATAAGAGTTTACAAGATATAATATATAGCAGTGGACTCGTACCTAATCTCACAAAATAATATAAAAAAAAATCAAGTAAATATTTAAATCAAACAATATAAATAAATATGTTTTATATTTAGTTGTTATTGCTATCGTTTGTTATTTATCAATATTTTTTAAAGTGAGGTGTAATGGTGCCAAATAATATTATGTATTATGTTTCAACAACAATTGTGTACTGCATTATCATTACAATGTGTTGAATGAACACCATAACCTGATTTTTAAAATATAGCAATCCGAAGAATATAATTAATCGAAAATATATGTGTATATATATATTATATATATAAGTAAACTGTATTAGTTTAAAAATTTAAAAACTCGACCCCTTATGATCGGATCCTCGTCCGCAACTAGTGAGATGCACCAGTATACGTAGTACCTTTAAGTTTGACCACCAAATAAATTTTCACTCATTCACTATCCTCAAATTTTGCACTACAGCACGTGGATGATTCTCTTTCTATTCATTCAGCACGTGAGTCTTATATTCAGCCAGGCGGAAAGAGCGTCCGTCCAGAGTCCACGGTAAATAAAAATTAAGGAGCGTTATATATGTATAATTTTTATATATATAATTTATTTGATATATGTAAACATAAAAAAAAAAAAAAAAAAAAAAAACTATAATTTAATAGTGCAAAAAAAAAATTTTAATATTGAGATCTATAGTCAGGAACTTGTTTGATGGCATACAGATTCCGTAGAATCCATTTGCCATATGTTCTTCATTTCTTAACGTTCCATTTTTCTCTGAATGAAGTTAAAGTTGTCTGTTCTTGAAATATATTCCTTTGGTTTGTCGAATATTTTTTTTTTTAAAAAAAATAAAAATTATGGACTACAAATTATAAATATTTGAAAAGAGTTTTTTTTTTTTTTTTTTATTAACATGACTTAAGGTTGAGAATACCATATTACAACCAAAACACTAATACCAATCCATACACTTGAAGGGGTGAATGAACTTGTGAAGTTCTTAAGTTTCTAAATTCCAAATTAATAACAATAATATCGACAAAACACTCGACACAAAACACATACATTTATTTCGACAACGTTGTACAAAAGTAAACAAAAAATCAAACACCACAATAAGTTCTAATAGCACTCTCAAGTCTCCGATTCTCTTCTTTGCTGTAGAAATCGAGAAACTTGAGATGATCAAACGGCTTATAACGTAAAGGATGCTTTTCGTCTACCAATTCTTCGGGTACTTTCACTATTCCATTCTCGAGAAATGAGAATTGTGCGATAGAAAATCTTGATTTGTTTCCATTCATAGTTACTTTATGCCGTGGTGACTTTATTCGGTCATTGCTCCAAGCCTAAGAACACCGAACATATTCTATATAATTACAGAGGTATAATAAAGGAACAAGAAAACAAAAATCACTATACAAATGCTAAATCTAAAAATTTAAACTACTAGAAAATTAATGTGCGTTTTTTATTTGTTTACTCGAGATTTTTAATTTGAATTTTTTTTATAAAAATTTTAAATAAGTATTGAATAGGGGTTTTCAAACTAAAAATTAAAAATGAAAACGTCTTTATGCAATATTTCAAATGAAAAATAAATTATACAATATTATTATTTAATATAATCTATACAATATATTGAATAATTCAAAAATAATTGCAGAAGTTCAACAAAATTTACCTTTCTCTCTATATATATATATAAAAGACAAATTTTTATATAAATAAGAACCCGTGTAGGGAAACAAGCTCACCATAACAGCATCACCCGCCATGACCACAACCGAAGAAGTAGAAAGATTGTGAACACCAAACCACTCGCCATCTTTGGCTTGGATCTCCAATCCATCCACTTGATTTTGATGGATTGTCGACATGAAGCTCTTGTCCGTATGAGCAACAAATCCCATTTTATTTTCATCCATCTTAGGTTCCCGATACTTCATAACCCTACAAAGGTAGTTAGCCGAGCTAACAATGGATCCGTAGTACTCCTTCACTCCATACTTCTCGCACACCATTTGTATAGCAATTCTTTCCAACTCCACGGCTATCTTTGTATATGCAAGAATTTTTTCGCTAAAAAAAAGAAAAAAAAATTAAATAAATAAGTAGAATGTTATATATATATATATATTAGATTTATTATTTTTTAGGTGAAATAGTTGTTGGATTTATATCTAGAAAGTAAGCATGTTTATTAGGAACAACGATGAGATTGATAATAATTTTTTTTTTAAAAAAAAAAAAATCGAAAGCAAGAAGAAATTTACCTGAACTCATTATTACCACCGGGCCACATTACATTAGAAAAATGGCGAATCCCTTCGAGGGTATTTGCGCTGTCGATACCCATGCTTTCGTAAAGAGGAATTAATGGAATTTGTCCGACATAACCATACAAAGGCTTGGAAGATTTGTTCTGAACTTTGGTCTGAAGGGGACGATCGAAAAGTTCCTCCAATGCCTCGAACACTCCATTGTGTGTTTCTTGGGAGATCTTATCGTAAACTGCTACAAAACATCCATACAATTCCAGGGCAGAAACCACTTCATTACATGCTTTGTCCCATTCTGTCGTCCCCGGTTTGGAGTTGCTGTCAGTGAATTCGATCACAGGAAGTTCATGCGGTGCTTGCGAACCCATGAGTGTGTGTGTTTTCGAAATAACTGAGGTTAAATTATGAAGTGTATAACTGATAATGGCTCTAGTGTGTGTGTTTTCGAAATAATTGAGGTTAAATAATGAAGTGTATAACTGATAATGGCTGTGTGTTATTAGATTGGTATGTGATGTTAGATTTAAAAAATCAGTATTGATGGATAACAATTTCAAATATAGAATAACAAATCTAGAATACAACCCCTTCACCCTGGCAAAAAATTGTTTGTTTAAGAATTTTTTGGGACACAATTTTAAATATATAGTAGTATATTTAATCATTTCACAAAAATCTATATTCAAAATTCCTTATATCTCATATAAAAAAAATTTTTAAATCAAAATACTAAACAAAAAAACAAATTATTATCTAGCCTCAAAATCTAAAAAAATAATAGTATTATTTTAATATAATAATGATATAGCTAAAATAAAAATAAAGTATTATAAAAAATTTACTAAAAAATTAATAAAAGAATATAACAAAATCATTATAATCTATTAAAATAAAAGTAATAAAATAACTTGTGAATAATAGACTATTGATAAATTTTGTAGACAATAATAAAAAAGAAAAAAGGAAAGCCGTTCACGCTTTTAGATGAATTTATTTTTAGTGCATGGTATAGTACGAAAAATTATATCAAAAAAATAAAATATATTATTTTAAATTAAATATTTGATTTTTTGATTTTTTTAATTAATATTAATTTTTTTACTTGACTTTTATAAAAAGTATTTGTATTGTCTATTATTTATTTATTTTTTAAAACGGCAATTGGAAATTAGTGTCCAGAGAACATAACATCTAAAGACCTAATTTTGATGTATTGAAGGAATTGAATTTATTTGTCCAAACTTTTTTTTAACACAATTTTCAATATATATAATTTATTTTTTCAAAAAAAAAATATTCAACATAAAATATTAATTTTTATATTATATGCATTATTTTATATATATATATATATATATAAATCAAATGAAACACTAAACAAAGACACTCAATTTTCACAAAACAATTTTCAAAATGTAGATAACACATCTACTAATAAATTAGAGTTGTAGGTAAATAAAGCTCAACCATTAGATTAACTTTTAGTGGTCTTAAATTTAATCGGTATACTGATTAATATGCAATCCTGACAATCATGTTTTTAACATTTTGCTATGTTGTCGAAATCAATTAGATATATTTTTTTTAATAAACTTTGTCATGAAAATCCCGGAAGGATTGCTATGCTGATTTCTTCTATTAGCACACATAAAATAGTCATTTAGAAAATATAAAAAAGACAAGCATCACATATTATGTGAAATAAAATTCCTTTTTTTGTTATACTTGTAGGTGTATTTTACGTTAAGTACGAGATTATATCATATGTCATTAATTCATTGTAATTTTATTTATATTATGGTAATATAAATAATGTATTTTTTTGTAACAATATAATGTGATGTCTATTAGTGCACGATGTTGTGCTATTAGTACTGTGCTAAAATTTAAAATTTAGCATGATAAAGGCAATCATTTTATATTTTTGAGAGGTAAGAGAAGATATTGACTGGATGAATTTTGCATTATTATGGTAGCTATCATCTTGTTGTGCTAAGAACAAATCGCCAAAATTAATACGTCACAAAAAAATTTCGTCGTTTTAGGGTTTGATTGTTCGAAAATTATTTTAGTTATTAAAATTTGGCTGACACAAACTTTTGTCCATGTCGATTATCTGTTAACTGATCATGATTCTTTTATTTAAAAAAATATAAAAATATGAATCACTCTAAAATTTTATATATAATTCAGGGTACTAATGCCTTGTGATAACATAGAATTTTCTCACAAGCAAACAGACTCATATATCTTTTTGAACAATCCTTCGTCATCATATTTTGTCTTGTTTTTTTTTTTTTAATAAAGAAAAATTGTTTTTATTGGAATAAAGATAATTAATTCAGACAACTGTACTCAATTATTTATGCAAGGATTTGAATTATTAAAAATGGGCATTATAGCCCGAGTTCGGTCCATACTTATTATTTTTTTTCAATTTATTTATTATGTAATTTTGTGAGTCTTTATAAAATATCAAATTTAAAACCATAATTCAAAAAAAAAAAAAAAAAAAGAAAAACCACCAAATAACATAAACAAAGCAAATAAAAGAGACGTGTAGTAGAATCTACAAGAAATTTTCTTACAAAAATAGATCTGAAGAACTATGGGCTGACAAATATCAGAGTTTGTTTTATTTCTGTCCCAAATTAAATTCAATACTATTCTATTCGATTAGTACAAATATATTATTTTTTTTATAAAATATACGAAAAAATATTGCTAATGAGGATGTATCGCAGTGTATGTACATGGTAGAGCCCAGTTATAGGGATAAAACTTTGTTGTTCTGTGTCAAATATAGTTTTGGAGTTTCAATTCTATATTTATCCTTATTTGTTACTGTTATTGTTTTTGTCTATTATTTTTTTATTTTAGTACAGTAAAATTCCTAACTTAAAAGCCCTTAAGACATAGATTAATTTGAATCCAATTAAATAATCAAATCCTCAACTAAAAGTTTTGGAAAATGCAGATCAAGGATTACCTAACCGCTAATCAACTATAAAGTTAACTAAGAATTTTACTATCAAGCTATGCTTTGATTTTTGTCTTCATTTTATTAGGTTATAGATATATATATATACAACATTTTTAAATATTAAATATTAATTTTAAAAATCGGGTTGGCAAAGCACAACCTGAAAGTTTTCGGGCCTATTTTTTAGGCTTAAGCATAATTTTTTGTGCGGGTTTCAGACCGGATTTTTGGGCCGTGCCTATTTTTGTCAGCTCTAAGTAGTCTATTCAATCCATTTAATTTCTACTCACTGTTGGATTTCTAACATCGACTCAAGCATACACAGGAGTTGGCCTAGCACCGGCCCAACTCTGGGGGTACCACAGTAGCTAAACACTTCAATGAATTCAATATTATCACATCATGGTTCGCCTCTATTAATAATAAATTTGATGACGAGGTGAAAGCTCTAATTATGCCATTGAGTTTTCTTGAAAATTGGGAATATATTATCGTAACAATTAGTATTTTATTAGGTAAGAGAAGTTTAAATTTAATGCTATTATAGATCAAATTTTTTAATGAGAAAAATTGTAAGTGACAAAAGACGGAAAGATCTATATGGAATGATCTACCATTAATATAGAAAATCAAGCTAAGTACAATTTCAAAAATATTAATAAGGTAGATTTTAAGTTGAGTAATCGAAACTGACCTAAGAAAGATTTAATCTTGTCGTATGATGAAATTGTGAGAAGTTCAGACATTATCAAAATCAACACAGAGCACAGAAGAAGAATAAGAGGGACAGTATTTCATCGAATGCAACTATTGAAAACATAAGGGATGCTCTCATTGTGAGTGTGACCACTCCCTTAGAGTCACGAGTTTTAGACTCTTAGACTTTGTTCTACTCTTGCAATAATTTATAATGGATGTGAATGAAAGTTACATGACGTCATACACATATCAACTTTGAAGAAAAAATTGATAATTGTAGAGAAGGTATATATCTATTGTTAGATGATCGGAATGACCGTCTCATCTAAAAACTTAAGATCTTACGGATACACATCATTTATTTATTTATATAAAAAATTGGAGTAAACCAACACGCCCTCTTAAGGGAAAGAGGGATAAATGCCACCAAACTAAACTTGCCCATGGACGAGACAAATGGAGGACAGTGAGACTCAAACTCGAGACCTAACGCTATGATACCATTTTATATGATGTAAATGACCATCGTTTTTATTAAAATAAAATGAAAAAATTAATCAAAATATAACTATGATACCCTCGGAGTTGGGCCATTTCTTGGCCAACTTTCGTGTGTAGATGGGCTGGTATTAAGCCATAAAAAGTAATTTATAAGTTAAATGGATTGAATAGACGACTCATGTCAACAATGTGCACATCCTTTTTCGGAAGTCCTACTAAAAGAACTTTAGAGTTAAGCGTGCGAAACACTTTGAAATGACTCGTATTGACTCGTGGAGCCACTCTACAATCCCAACACGTTTTATTTTGCGTGGCTTGTGGGCCAGGGTGTCACAATTGTATCAGAGCCGACCTGCGACAGCCTGCAATTGTTGACCGGACTGTTGACGGACCCTGCAGTTAACGATTATTGGGGAGCAACGTGGGCGTTGCATTCCAAAGTGGGGGAAGATGTGATACCCCGGAGTTGCGCCGTTGCTTGGCCAACTCCCGTGTATGGGTGGGCTGGTATTAGGCCATCCGAAGTAGATTATAAGTTAAATAGATTGAATAGACTACTCATGTCAACAATGTACATATTCTTTTTCGGAAGCCCTACTGAAATAAGTAATTTGAGGATGGGTGACCCCCTTGGGAAGTCTCTCAAGGTGCACATGAGTGAGAACATAAGCGTCCTGAAAGGACTCGTGTTGACTTGTAGGGACAGTCTACAATCCTGGCACACTCGGCTTTTCTTGGCTTACGAGCCGGGATGTCATTGTTGGTATCAGAGCTGACCTGGGACAGCCTGCAGTCATTGACCAGACTGTTGACGAGTCTTGCAGTTGAGGATCCTTGGGGTGCAACGTTGACATTGCATTCTAAACTGGAGGAGGGTGTGATTCCCCCTTAGTTAAGTCGTTGTTTGGCCAACTCCCGTGTGTGAATGAGTTGATATTAGGCCATTCGAAGTAGATTATAAGTTAAATGGATTGAATAGACTACTCATGTCAATAATGTGCACATTCCTTTTCGGAAGTCCTACTGAAAGAATTCTAGAGTTAAGTGTGTTTGCTCTAAAGTAATTTGAGTATGAGTGAGGACAAAAACACGCTGAAAGGACTCGTGTTGACTTGTGGGGCCAATCTACAATCCTGACACGCTCGGCTTGGCGTGACTTGCGGGCCGAGGTGTCACAATAACGATATCAATTGAATAGAAAAATATAAAAAAATATTGTGAGACGCTATAGTTTATTGCCGAGATTTAAAGGATTCTTCCGTAGCTTTTTTAGACATGGGGACACGACTCCTAAATGATCTTCATTTGCGGAATTCTGTTTTGGAGGACAGATTTTTTGATTGCCATTGTCATTGTGGTTAGCCCGAGGTCGGAGGAGCTAAAATGCCTTACCTATTTAATATTGGCTCTTCCTCTGACTACAAGGACAAGAAATCGTTGTTGCATCGTAGCAACGCCAATTGATTTAGCGACCCAGCTTCAACAAAGCATCTCGTGTCTGGCGTAGCAGAGAGACAATGATGTCGATGGTGCCATATATGAAGTATTGGAGGCGACACCGAGCCTCAAGTATATGGGATCTAATTTCTTCGTCGCACAATTCCTCAGACTTGATAACAATTTTGACGATTTTGTTCACGCAAAAAACATGAAGAACCGTGTGGAAATTCCTATCCCCTTCCTCGCCGGCCAGAAAATACGGCGCAAAAGGACATGAAATAGAGCAATGACGGCGAAGATATCTACATAATGCGGACAAAGGCATCTTCCTTAGACCTTGCAAAATCATAAGTGGGCGGAGGACACTACAAACCCTTTTTTGAATTCTTCAACAAACACTTCTTGAAAGTTTTTGGAACAATGAAGAAGAAGATGAAGAGGAAATTATAGTATATTCTTGTAGTAGCTAGTCGACTAAAAAAGAGGGTATCAAAACTTTAGGCTCGAGGTTGAGTCCCACCGTCCCCCATTTGTCGTCGTCCATGGGCAAATTTAGTTTGATGGCGTTTATCCCCCTTGCCCGTGAGGGGACGTATTGGTTGACCATCGTTTGTAAATAAATAAATAAATTATTTGTATTCCTAGTAGCTTAAGCTTTTAGGTGAGACGGTTATTCCGATAATCTAATATTTATCTTATACAGGACTACACATGTGTTGATTAACTTGCATTTATTTTGAAAGATTGTATAATCCTTAGGACTAATGATTACTTTGTCTCGGTTCCGTGAGCCTTTAATATGCATTTTTTCTACCGCCAACCGTAGCCCCATTACAACTTTTTATTATAACCTTTGATTATGAACATTACTTTTTTGATGAATTGTGGAATAAATTTGATTTTCTTGCAAGCCTATAGGATTTGTCGTTTACTTCATGTTATTTGAGTGGATATAGCCTAAACACTTAGGGGTTAGAGCTTACTTTATATATATATTCTCTACTTGGTGAGGTTAGTTGGTTTTTGCATGTTTTAAATCTGACGTAGTTGATGACATGGTTAAGTGACTTTTGCATTAGTGAATATTTCAATTCTTGGTTTGGATATATGCTTGAGGACAAGCATGGGAAAGGTGTTGAGGGATTGATATGTGCTATATATGATAATACTTTGTTGTGTTTTGGGCGACTTTTGGAGGCGAAATTGTGTATATATGTGCTTTTAATGATGTATTTATTGTTTCTCTATTAGTTTCCATGGGGTTGACAAATTTTAAGGCATATTTGGGATAAAAAGAACATAATGCAGTAAAGCCTCAAGGACAGTCCAATGTGGGAAAAAGAAAATAATAAAATTACAAAAAAGTATTTCAAGGTAAATTAGCAATTTAAAGATTGTTGGGTATAAAGTTGCGAAGGGGATCTAAGGTTGACAAATTAAAAAGAGAGTAATAGACAATTGAAGAGAGGAAAGAAACGTATCATCACGTTCTACTCACGACACCACTTCTTGAAGGGAGAAAAGAAAAAGAGAGAAGAGATGCAAGAAAGTAGTACAGGCGACTCCCGAGCATTCTTCTTTCATTGTCAATATTGTTCTTCTTTGTCGATTTCCAAAAATTGAAAGCATGATGACGTTTGAAATATGAATTGTGATACTTGGTTTTTATTTTAATTTAATGTTTATTAGTATTGAGTATTTTTAAGTTCTCTGTCTTGCGAAATTAGAAATCTTAAATTGATATTTGTGTCCACATATTAATTTTAGATTTCATAGCTATATTGAAAATTGAAACCAATAATTGTGTAATCTTTCAATTGAAGTAGCAACTTATAGGAAGAATATTCTATGAAGGAATTAAAATCAACCGAGTGTTTAAATCATTATTGTTTTCATGTGGAAACGACCCTATTCACCAGCATTACTGCATTTTGCATATTTTGTGACGTAAGAATTGATACTTTATTTTACAATGATGCGACACGGTTAATGATTGCTTATCTAGACTAGACTAGAGTTCGGCAAAATACAAATATATAATGAAAAATATAAGTTGTAAATGTAATATTTTAAAAATTAAATATTAAATAGTAACTTTTTGTTCAATATCTTAACAATAATTACTCTTAATTTTAAAATTTCCCCACTTGCTACAATATTCCAAAATTGCTTCCTGTAGAGGTCGTCATAAGAACAAATTTACATGAAAAAAAAAAGTGAAAATAATATTTTAAAATATTAAAAATTGAATCGCAATTTCAATTATTTGTTCGATATCTTACCAATAATTACAGTAATTTTAAAATAAAAAAATATTCCACTTGCTAACATATAAAATTGCTTCCTATCTAGACTAGAGGTCGGTATAAGACAAATTTATCTTAAAAATATATTACACATACTCTTTTTATTAACATGTTTGTATTTATAATAAATTTATCAATCATAAATATACTTAATAAATATAATTTAATCTAATTAAATTTATATAGGACACATTCAAAATCTTTTGATTTACATCTCTCCTTAATAAGTAAATATTTTTATCTATATTTAAAATTTATTATTTTTTTATAAAATTAATTTATGTAAATTTTAAATAAATAAATATTTTTATTTATTTGTATTAAAAATACAATTTTATTCTTTAAAAATTAATATTTTATTTTATATATTTTTTATTAAAATATAATATTTAAAACATTTAAGCACATATTGAAAAAAAAAATAGTTTTAATAAGAAAAAGTAAAAAGGGTAAACTCAAAATTTTTTAATTATATATTAGTTTTTATTTTAAAAATACCGACAACATCATTTACATAAATCAATAATAATAATAATAATAATAATAATAAATATATTACTTTTAACTTACTAATTTCTATTACCTTAAATATTATATCATTAACCAATGTGCAATATTTTAAAGAGTAAACCGTATTTTTAGTTCGTAATTGAATCTCCTTGTCATTTTAATCTTGTAAGTAGAGCCTGTCGCAAACTAGTTTCATAAGTGAAAATTTTTCGTTATTTTAGTCCTCCTGCGCCGAAGACGCCCGGTGGCTCGCCGGAGGCGACCTGGCGGACACGTAAATTTTATTCTATTTTTTAAAATTTTTTTCAATTGGACCAAATAAAAAAAAAGGGCAAATAAAATTAAAAAAAGAAATTAAAAAAATTTTAAAAAATGAAAAAAAATGATAAAATCCCGTGTCCGCCAGGTGTCGTTGACCTGGCGGACACGTCGCCTCCGGCGAGCCACGCGACGTCTCCGGCGCCGAAAGACTAAAACAACGAAACAAAAAATTTTCACTTGTAGAACTAAAATGATAAGGGAGTTACAGGTCTAAAAAAATAATTTACCATATTTTAAAATATTAAAAAATTTATATAGTAAAACTTATATTAAACAATGCATCTCTTGTCCCGGACTCATTTTGAATAGCGGTCCCTATCCCATCCTAATATATTTTGGAAAATTAATTTAAAATTTGAATTATTGTAAAGGAATAGAGGGTGCGTTTGATTAATATTTTAAATCAAAATCGTTTCCACAGTTTTTATAAAAATAATTTTTTTTTTCATAAAATATTACTTTAAAATAATATTTAAATTGAACCCCCTAATTTAAAACCAAACCGAAACAAAACCCGAAAACTCTATTTTAAATTATAATTCATTTGTTTTATGCTCTATTTTATATTGTTCTTTTTGTTAAAAATTTATGTATACTTTTTTTTGCTTTTTATAAAAAAACAAAAAACAAAAAACAAAAAAGAAAATTGTAAATTACTACAAGTATGACTTAAGGTTGGTAATATCATATTACAACCAAATTGATCGTTAAAATTATTTATTACACACATGCGCAATACATATCGAAAGAACTTGTAAAGTTCTTACAATTTATTAATAAACACTACTCAAAGGCCACAGTAGTTTCTAATAGCATTCCCATCTTTCAGAGCCAGGTTCTCTTTTTTGCTATAGAATTCGACAAAGTTGAGGTGATCGAATGGCTTATACAGCTGAGGACAGTCATCATCTATGAATTCCTCGGGTGTTTGCACCATTACATTCTCGAGAAATGAAAACAATCCGATGGAATATCTTGATGTTTTTCCATTCATGGTCACTCTATGTCGTGGTGACTTTACTCGGTCGTTGCTCCAAGCCTAATAAAAAAATTAAACAATATATTTAGTTATATCTTCGAATTTTAGAATTGTAGCAAATGTAATATATATACAATATATATATATATAATCCTATAAGCATCACATCTAAAGGGTGTGTTCCTTTTGTATTATGAAAGTTTGGATTTTTTTTGTTTATTTTTAGGTGAACTAGTCGTTGAATGTGATATATATATATAATGAGCATATGTTTATTGAATACAATGATATTATATTTTTTTCTTATAAAAAACAAAAGTAAAAGAAAACAGAATTAAAGCACATATTTTTCTATCCCACCTAAAGTATGACTTTATGTAAGGTGAAAAAATCTAAAATGAATTTGAGTTTAGCAGGATAAGTAGTGAAATGCGATGATATATTGGTAAATAAAAATATGAATAAAGGAAAATTGATAATTAAACTAAAAGTTCATAAAGTTGTAAATGGAAATAAACTATTTAGGTAGAATAGCTCTAAATGATAAGCTACACAATACATAATAGAGTATTATTTTCAATTACAAAAATCTTAATAAACCATGTTCGTTTTGGGCAAAGTAGTATAAAATCTGTAAAATAAAATTGGTATAAACCCGATAAAAAATACATAAAAAAAAAAGAAAAAAATAGCTCACCATAAAGGCATCACCCGCCATGACAACAACCGAAGAAGTAGAAAGGTTGTCAACGGCGAACCACTCGCCATCTTTGGCTTGGATCTCTAATCCATCCACTTGATTTTGATGGATTGTCGACATGAAACTCTTGTCCGTGTGAGATAGAAATGCGACTTTATTTTCACCAATCTTAGCCTCCCGATATTTCATCACCCTACATAGATAGTTCGCCGAGCCAACGATAGATTCATAGTACTTCCCCACTCCATACTTCTCGAGGACCATTTCAAAAACAATTCTTTCCAACTCCACGGATAATTTTGTGTATGTAAGAATTTTTTCACTGAAACAAAACAAAAATAAGGATCAATATGTACAAAGAATATTAGAAAGACCCTTATTGTCGTAGAATAATTGTCACAGTTGTACATATTGTTGCAAGATCATAAAAGTATCTAACTTTTCTAAATCCTTTATTTAAATTCGTAACTGGACTCATTTATCATTTTAGTCATATAACTGGAGTCTGTCGCAAACTAGTATCGTAAATGAAAAAATTTCGCAGTTTTATTTCTCCGACACCAGAAATGCCTACATGGCACCCACGTAGTTCGCCAGAGGCAACGTATCCGCCAAGTCAGCGACACTTGGCGGACACTTTAGTTTTTTTTTTTTCTTTTTTTTTAGTTTAATTTAAATTGTTATATTTTGTAATTGGACCAAATTCAAATATACAAAACATCTAAATTTAAAAAATTCACGCTAGGTGTCGCTGATCTAGCGGCCACGTGGCCTCCGGCGAGCCACGCAGGTGCCGGTACCATGAAGACATCTCCGGCGTTAGAGAACTAAAACTGCGAAATTTTTTCACTTACGGGACTAATTTGTGACATACTCCAGTTACGGGACTAAAATGATAAAATAGTTCAATTATGAAACTAAAAAAACAGTTTACCTTTTTAAAACTATAGAGTATATATTGAATTATCGGACAACATATCTACCTGAACTCGTCATTACCACCCGGCCACATAATTTTAGCGAATTCATGAATTCCTTCGAGGGTATTAGAGTTGTAGATACCCATGCTTTCGTGCAAAGGAATCATTGGAATTTGTCCAACATAACCGAACAAAGGCTTGGTGGCTTTGTTCTGAACTTTGGTCTCGAGAGGGCAATCGAACAGTGACTCCAATTGCTCGAACACTCCATTGTGTGTTTCTTCGGAGATCTTGTCGTAAACTGCTACAAAACATCCATACATTTCCAAAGCAGAAACCACTTCATTACATGCCTTGTACCATGATGTCGCCCCTCGTTTTGAGTTGTTGGCCGTGAATTCGATCACCGGAAGTTTATGCGGCGCCGGCGAAGCCATGAGTGTGTATGTGTGTGTTTGTTTTAGAAATAATTGAGGGAAATTTGTATGGCGTGTATAAAAAAACGCCAATGGCTGTGTGCTTTTAAATTATCTTGCTCCAACAATGAATCTTTTCTATATTATTGAGTTATAATCATTGAAGTTAATTGACAAAATCGTGTGTTAGGTACAACATCTTTTCGTTTTTAGTTTTCTCTTTTATCTTTCTTCTTTTTGGTAGTTAGAAATTTAGAATGCAGATGAAATCAAATATTCGCCCCGTCCCAAAACTATAGTCTAGGTTGTGTTTGGCACGAGATTTAGTGGATAAAAAGTACGGGTAAAAGATTTTTTTACCTTTTTGAGTGTATTAGTGTAAAAAATAGTGGCAATTGTGTAATAATAAAAAAAAGTAAAGATAGTTTTATAGTGATATGATTATTTATAGAAATGATACTATTGTTTTAGGACGGACAAAAATGATAAACAGGACTATTGTATTGGGACGGAGTTTTAAATTTGATTTAACCAAGTTAAAAAATTAATATAAAATAATTAACAAGTTATTACAAAGATTATAGCAAATAATTAGCATTTCATGGCAAGACAAATAGCATAAAAGATGGGATTAATCCTAACTGTGCTGAATTATGCATTTCAGCATAGTATCTATGCCCTTTTTTAATTTCCGCATACATATAAAATGGCATAAGAAGACAAAAAAAAAACAAGTGGATGCAATGGTAGTGTTCTTTAGTGTTTTAGAACTTTTGGAATTTTATCATTTTTATTGAAAATTGTTAAAATATTTTGAAATTTTGTTATATCATTTGGGTGGAATGGTATTTATTATTCATTACAAGATAATTGATGGTTTTCTTCGAAGAATTGGTTTGGATATTTAATTAATTCTGAGACAATTTCGAAAATTTTGGAATTAACTTTGAAGAGAAAAATTCGTTATCATTCAATAAAGTTTAGAAATTTCGAAGTCATTTTAAAAAATCTCATAAAGAAAGCCCAAAGCGAAAGCGGGTGAGTGTACAATCCAAATAGTTTCGAAATTTTTATGATTATATATCTTTTTTTCCAGATTTTTCGAATCAATTTTAAAAATATTTATTCAAAAAAAGTTAATCTACAATTAGGTCCGAGAAAATTTTTATAAGTTTTACATGCCTCAAAAGCCAATCGTAGAATGAAAAACATAGGAAGAAAGGCATCAAAATCTCGACAGCGGCTTTCTCCGGCAGTTTATGACGACGACGACAAACAACCCTTTCCAGCAACTACATGTTGGCCATAAAATCGAAGAGTCCTTTCTAAAAAAAAGTTAAAGAAAATTGATAAGGAAAAACAATAATTGTGCCTCTAAGTATGTGGAATGTGATGTGAATTTTTTCTTATTTATTTATTTTTTTTTTAAGTTAAACAAAATTATTTTTTTTTCATATTGCAACATGTGTCACAAATATGAGAACTCGGAACATATTTTTTTCAAGTATTTTCTCAAATTTTTTTAGTAGAATCTATTTGAAATGGTAACTTTGGAGTTTTGATTTGAATAAAAAGAATTTAAATTTGAATAGTTATTCAATATAAGAAAAATAGAAATTGATTTAATATTTGGAATGTAAAATTAATTTTTAATTTATATTTAATTTAATATTTTTATGAAATAAATTAATAATTAAAATATTGTGTATTACTTTATAAAAGTTTATTCTATGTAAAGTAATATTAGTAAATATTATTCTATATGTCCCAAAAATAATATTACTATTTTAACATTTTATCTCTTTTAAAAATAATAATTTTATTACCATAATATTGTCATTAGTATTTTATCATTATTAAACAAATATAACTATTTTTTATATTTAAATTAAAATATATTAAAAAAGACAAAAAGTCTTTTTAATTAATATTTTATATTCAATGTCAATATAATATAAAATCTTGAATTCAATATTCAAAAATTATAAATTTATTCTTTTAGTACGGTAGAAAGTATATTAAAATATAATTTTAAAGATATTTTTAGTAAAATAATTTATTTTCTTATCAAATATATATATTACTATCATAACATGTCATTATTTAATACTCTTTCCGTGTCAACACAATAGTCTTGTTTACTATTTTTGTCTGTCTCAAAACAATAGTCTCATTTTTATAAATAATTATATCTCTATAAAAACTACCCTGACTTTTTCATTATTATTACATAATTGCCACTACTTTTTACACTAGTACACTCACAATGGCAAAAGAATTTTTTATCCGTACTTTTTACCCACTATCAATATAATATTAATATTTAAATCTCGTGTAAAGCACAACTCAAACTATAGTTCTGTGACGGAGGAAGTAGTAAAATTGAATCTCAAAGCACAATTCTCAACTTAAATTTACGAGTACATTGGGCTTCATAGAATACAGTGTACACTGGGCTTCAACAATGGGTAAAATCAATGTAAGGCCCAATACGTTGAAATCCATATATTCTTATCCATTCACATCATATATTAATTACTTCCTCGGTCCCACATAATTTGTCCCTATTTTCTATTTTCATTCGTCTCACGTAACTTGTCCTTTCTATTTTTAGAAATATAATTATGCATTTTAATCACATTTTAAATTTTAAATTTTATAATTTTCTTAATTTTAATTAAACTATTTATTTATATTAATCTTAATCTATAATTATTTTTATTAAATAATAATTATTTTTACTAATACACTTCTTAATTACTTACTAATTATACTTTACCTAAATTTCTGTGTCCACAGTAATACACTCATATTACATGGGACGGAGGGAGTATTATAGTTCCTCAGGATTAACAATTGTTGTGGTTTGAATAATTTGAAATGATTTATTAATTTAAGTTTTCGTTTACATATTATTTGATACTATGTTTTGTGAAACTTTGTATAATAAATAATTTTAATTTTAATTTAAAATACTAAAAGAACAAACTCGAACATCTTCCAAAATTATGCTATTTTTTTATTTTTTATTTTTGGTTTTGTATTTTCTAAAGTAATATAAAATTTATAGTAAACAATTTTATCTACTTGCAATTCTATTATCCTTATTTTAATAAAGAATAATCAATTTGTCATTATATTTTTTATTTATTTCACTTTTTTTTGTTAATATTTTAATAATTTTTTTGTAATATCCAACTTTCCTTTTTACCTATTTTATTTTAATATTCAAATATTATTATTTTTAAATTTTCGTACAAATCAAATTTATATAAATTTATCGGACTGAAAAAATATTTGTTTCTTTTATTTTTTATTTTCAAAAAAAAAAAAAACTTGTAATTTTTATTCATAGCTTAAGAAAAGAACTTCTTGTGTTGATCTACTAGTTTCATAGTATAAATCAACAAAAAAAAAAATAAAAATATTAATATAATACAAATGAAGCCTATAAATTAAACACCAATCACATATTGTGTATAATAATCTCATGCTCAGATCATGAAAACAATATAATACATTAATTGATTATATTATTATTATTTAATAATGTAATGTTCCATTTGAAGGTACAATTTATATGATTCTCGTCCATTTAAATTAAAAATATTTGTTTTATTATAGTAAAAATAATTTTACATTAATATCAAAGTATCATTAATTTTTATATAAATTGCAAATATATAATCAAAACCAAACAAATTAACCAAAATTTTATAATCCACAAAAATATCAGCTTTCATCCATACATGACCAACATGTGACCAACAATCTCAAATGCAATATACTCCCTCCGTCCTATCTAATATGGGTGAATTACCGGAGATACGAGAATTTAGATAAAGTATAATTAATAAGTAATTAAGAAGTGTATTAGTAAAAATAATAATTATTTAGTAAAATAATTATAAATTAAGATTAAGATAAGTAAATAGTTTAATTAAAATTAAGAAAATCATAAAATTTAAAATTTAAAATGCGATTAAATTGCATAATTATATTTCCAAAAATAAAAAGAATAAGTTATATGGAACGGACGAAAATAAAAAATAGGGACAAATTATGTAGGACGAAGAGAGTATTACTCTATGCATATTTTGTTACCTTCCAAACCCTAATCGGTTCATATCTTGTCAAGAACTAATAATCTCAATAATTTGTATAAATAATAATATTTTATATATATATATATATATAGATATCATTTCCATACTGCAGGTTGCTGATTGGAGTATCCAATTCTTTATTTGCCTTTTTTGTTGTTTCCTCTTGTCGGCTCAATATAATATATATATATATATATACATGCCAAGAAGATTATGAATATGTTTCTTTTTCCAAAAATGTCAATTTTCTAATATTTGAATTTTGTATTATTTTAAAAAAATATATATTTTTTTCCTCACACAAAACATCACATCATACGTTATTATAATAGCAAACTCAATAATTTTGACAGTCATGACATTTTTTCCAATAATTTTTTCTTGCCATATTTTGATTATGTAATTTCTTTACCATTTAAACTTGACGTTGCAAAAAAAAATTAATAAAATAATATACCTATTTATTTTACAAAATATCACATTAATTATTATTTAAATCAAAACTCAAACTTTTAAACCCAATCAAATTCCTCAAAGAAACACACTTATTATATTTCATGACAAATATAGATAAATAAATAAATAAATATATATATATAGATATAGATATATAGTATTAGATCAATATATACATAGAGAAAGAGAGTGAAATTTTTATTTTTTGTATGTGTGATGAGCTTAGGGTTTCTCAAATAAAATTCACCATACCAAAAATTATAATCAATTTTATTTTTACTTTTAACTACAGAGAGTAGCCATTTGGTTGGGTTGAATATTTATTTTTCAGAATTAATAATGAAGATATCCTTCTACATTTTATTTTTTTTTAACTTTTATTTTCCTATTGCATTACAAATGCAAATGATATATATATATATATATAATACATTCATTTTACCTTTTTATATCAGGCAAACTTTAACAGTGGGAGTTGACAAACAAAATAAAAAGCAAATGTTGATAAATGCCATTTCTTTTTCAAATTATTCTCTTTTTTATTTTTTTTGTCAAAAAGTGGGGTGTATTTTGTCCTCTTTCTAGTGTAGAAATTAAAGTTAAAT